ATTTACATATATTTCGTTAGTATCGTACCCTTGAAGTCAGGTTTTCTTTCACTTGAAACAAACTTCCTATTCCGCCCACTATTGACCAAGCACAAAAGAGGGAAATAGTTTTGGGTTTTTTTCTGTCTTCGACTTAATCCAATTTTTAAAATTGCCTCTAAACTGGGGATAAATAAGTAAATAAATATTGCGAGGGCTTATATTGAAAGATCTGGCAAAGGTTACTGTCTGACCACCTATAGGAAGAAATCAAATTAACACACTGGAACCGACTATTCTTGGGGTCACATATGGTTTGAGGGTGCTTTTATATTTAACTCAAAACCTTCTTTTCTGACGGTCAAAACGATGTTTCCTTTAAATATAATTTGTGTTTGCACCAGGCCAAGGCAACGAGATTCACAGGATTTACGGACTTCATAGAATTTCGTGACATATTATTCATCTATGTACGGTATTGGCCTAGTTATAGGGCAAAATATACTGCCTATACTGACTTCGAGGACTAAAACTTGACAGACAAGCAAAGCATGAGTTCTTTGAGTGAGCCGGGGTAAGAAGAAAGAGTAGGGGGAGGGGAGCAGTTATCGAAGAAAGTCAGTTTAGGTCACAGGGTCAACCTGTCGGGCGTGATTAAAAGGCAGGGCAGCAGTCGATCATATGGGGAAGGGGTTGGGGGCATGAGAGGAGGGGGGAGGTAATATGGTTAGATCTTTTATCGATCGTCACCACGGCAATGCGAGGTTGAGTAGGTGATCTAGATCCGAAACAGAGTCCTATTTTTTCTTCTCAATTCTGTAGCAGCCTCTGTAATGTGCAAGAGAGGCCTAGTCGTCGATCGAAGAAAGATCTTAGGTCTACCGAATGGCCAATGTCCACCAGCTGCTTTGTGGTTGAACTCATGGGTGTCTCATTTTCCGCTCTAAGCAGCCACATCGGCATGTGTTCAGTTAACTGAATTGCTGACTACCCTTGCATGCGTCCAATGTATTTGCAATCTAAAATACATGTCTACTCGTTAATATGTGCAAATATTCGGGGTCCAGATATAATTTCGTGCTCATTATCCCCGGAAGAGGAAGAAAAAGAAGAAGAGGAGGCGGCGGCGGCGGCGGCGGAAGAGTAAGCACCACGCTCTGACGATGAGAACGAGCATGTTTTCGAAACGTCAGCACAAATACAATTTGGTCCCAGCACTTGCTCCCTCTTCTTCTTCCTCTTCCGGGGACGATGAGCACATGTCTACTCGTAAATACAATTTGATATGGCGTGCATAGGCAGAATGTGTTTAGTTGGTCTTAATGGAAGAGCCATTGTTGTGCTTATGAACAACGATTGACAGGCTGCCTACGTTAGTTAAATCGTGCAGCAAAGTCGTAACTTGGTCACGCTGAACATATCATCACCCTTGAAAAGGAAAAACGTACTCCTCGGTTTCCTTAGCACGGATATTTCACGAGGAATTTCTTGTCCATGGTGGCGATACTTATCGATGAATTAATCTGGGTACCCGTTTGCATGAAACTCTTCAGGAAACGATACCTTCATCGATCTTATCTCAAGAAAAAACTCTATTGGTCCTATTGAACAGGCATAAAACCAAGTTTCATTGCTTTGAATTGGAAGGAAACTGAGGAAGTACATGTACTCCGATAGATGAACATATGAATTGAACTATCTGCTCGCCTGTGTATAAGAACGTCTAAGAAATCCATTGTGTCCTTCTCTTCCTGCTCAATCGTAAACGTGACCGTAGCGAACATGTCCTCTATAGAATGCAGTTTTTGTATGTTAATGGTTAATTTTTTTTCAACCTTTGACATGAAGATATCCGCTAAGACTGGCCCTAATAGACTATCCGTAGCTGCACCGTCGATCTGTGTACAATAACTGAATACCCTATATTATGAAGTAAAATATTTCACGGAGAAACCGTAGTTTTCTACTAAATGAGGACAAGAAAAAACAACGTTGTGTTCCTGCTTCCTGTAAAAATATTTGAATTTCTAAGTGCATTAAAAATCAATTTGAAAATTGTATACTACTTGAGTAACCATTTTTTATACAATATGCTTATTGCCGGCAGTCAGAAAGAAGCTTGTTCAAAAGTTGGTATTACGATCATGCTGCATGATAAACGATATTGTAATCTTACTTAAGACATCTCTTCGAATGGAAGGCGCATCTCAGAATTTTTTGTTGAACAGCTTGTTTTTTTCTTATTAATAGGCAATGACCGTGTGCCGTGCAATAAGAATAAGCGAATATTTTTGCTTTTTTGCTTATAATTTTTTCAGGTAAAATAGTGCTTCGATATTTGATGTCTTTCGTGTTCTCCCTGCAAATTTTACGTTAAAAAGGGCTTGAACCCGAATAACTTCAAGCTTAAACTCTTTTACGTGTTTAAAAGGTCAGTGCAATCGCGTTATGAGCGCCGGCAGAAAAAATATTCTTTATAAAAATGTTTATTTAAGTAGTATGAAATATTCCTATTTATTTTTAATGCACTTACAAATGCAAACTGTTTTTTATAGAAAGTGTATGCAAAAATGCTTTTTTCTTGTCCTCCTTTATTAGAAACTTGAGCCTTCCATGCGGAATATTCTTTTATAATAGAGCGTATTCACTTATTCATTTATGTTCCCTAGACAGTACGCCCCGTGATCGGCAGCCATTATAAACTTTTATGGACGCTATGCAGCCACTTCCTCGTAGAATATAAAACATTTTGCAGCCTTAAATAATGTGTTCTAGGT